TTTTTTTTTTTTTTTAATTCAACAAAGAAAAAGGTGGGATGGATTGGATTTATTGCCTTTTGGAGGAGTAGGGAGCTAAAGTGGGCAGGCCTCAGAGATAGGGTGACTTGGCTTTACCAACTTAACATTTCTATCATTGGATTGAATGTTACCCAGAGATACAATGACTCTGTCTAGTTGAACTGAAAGATTTCACACCACACAAAGTGACTTTACATTGAAACCTACTGATAGATGCTAATCTGTGGCCTATGGCTAGGGTCAGATGTTGAGCAGCCTATACCTTTTAGTTGAATAAAAGAACTTTGAGGGGTAGGGAGGGTGAGAAGGGAGGAAGGGGGTGTCAGCTGGGTGTATCATTGATGTCACAGTTAACTTTTGGCTCTCCACACCGATCTGAGGAACTCTGTTTCCTTCCCTCCCTCCGTCCTTCTTTCCCTTCCTTCCCGCCCAAGTTGGAATGCAATGGCACAATCTGGGCTCACTGCAACCTCTGTCTCCCAGGTTCAAGTGATTCTCCTGCCTCAGCTTCCTGAGTAGCTGGGATTACAGGCGCCTGCCACCACACCCAGCTAATTTTTTGTATCTTTTTTTTGAGACGGAATTTCGCTCTTGTCACCTAGGCTGTAGTACAATGGTGCAATCTCTGCTCACTGCAACCTGCGCCTCCCGGGTTCAAGTGATACTCCTGCCTCAGCCTCCCGAGTAGCTGGGATTATAGGCACATGCCACCACACCCGGCTAATTTTTGTACTTTTAGTAGAGATGGAGTTTTACCATGTTGGCCAGGCTAGTCTTTAACTCCTGACCTCAGACAATCCACCCGCCTGGGCCTCCCAAAGTGCTGGTATTACAGGCGTGAGCCACCACACCTGGCAATTTTTTGTTTTTTTTTTTTTGGGTAGAGATGGGATCTCACTATGTTGGCGGGCTGGCGAAGTATATAATTTCTATCAACTCACTGCCAGAGTGTAAACTCCTTGAGTCCCTAATTGCTTATTCCCGCTTTTTGAATTTTTTTACATGGTAGATATTAAATAAATGTTGGTTAGTTAATGAAGACAGTTTATTAAATTAATGAAAGAATATTAGTTGAGCTACTGTCTTATTTCTAATTTCTTACTGTTGGGCTTTCAAAAAACAAACCCATAACCACCAACAGAGACAACTGATTTTCCAGTTAGATTTAAAATAATGAGAGAATTGAGCTGCTACATTTTGAGTAATAGTATAAATATGAGAATTACTTACAAGAGCAAAGAAAACAAAATGAGCCTTGATAGTCTTAATCACAGCTGCCATTGTCATAGACTGCTGGAATTGTTTCTTTCCAGCAGGCTGTGAGTCTGGGTGCCAAGTGGTTACTGTGAATTATTTGAGTGATTATAGTATTTGAACTGTAGAGAGGTTGTTAAAAGAGGATTTAAAAAAAAAAATCTCTCTAGGAAGCACTAATTTAAACTATGCTGTCTTCCAAAAATTCCAAAAGAAACACTCTTTTTAACACAGTTTGGTATAATGCTTGCTGGAGTGAACAGTACTATAGTTGCTTAGTATATTTGAAGGACTTAGATTTCTTCAGTGACATTAATAGTCTATAGCTTGCAGTTTAATTTTGTTGAAAGACTCAGGACAATCA